TTTAAGTCTGTGTAGTCTACACACATTCGCCAGGTGCCATTCGGCTTTTTAACAAGCACCACATTTGCAACCCAGTCTGGGAAGTAACATTGCCGAATGAACCCTGCATCAGGTAATTTTTTAACTTCGGCGGCTGCCGCCTGACTTCTTTCTTCGCCATGGTTCCGCTTCTTCTACCGTACCGGCTTCTTTTTCGGATCCATGGCCAGTTTATGTACCGCCAGATCAGGACTAATGCCTGGCATTTCATGGAATTCGAATGCAAAGATGTCCTTGTATTCTTTCAATAGTTTGTGAAAGTCGTCACCCAGGACTCTCAGAGCAGTCGTCCCAACTTTGACTGTTCGCTCAGGACGTGAATCGTCTAAGATCAAGTCCGTATGCTCACCAGCCGGCTGAGGGCGGAATTCATCTGACCGCTCCTCTGCCAATGATTGCTATTTTCTGTCTTTTCGTGCGGCCCCTGTCTGGGATGCCTTTCTCTTCTTGCCGCCTGCTTCTTGAACAGGCGCACTCTCCTTGACATTGTCAAGGTCTATTTTTCCACCACTCGACCCAGTGGCCATAACAGTGGGCTTGACATCCGAGAGATAGCACTCTCGGGCCATCTTCTGATCTCCCCTTAGGGACCCGACTGTTCCATTATCCCTCTCAAACTTGAGCAACATAAGAGATGGGATTATAACAGCCTTGGAATTATTCAGGGTTGGTCGTCCCAGAATCATGTTGTAGGCCGAGAGTTCTTCTACTACCAGGAACCGGACTACCATGTGTCGTCCTTCCCCTTTTTCGCCCAGGCGGATGGGTAAATCCACTCGTCCCACTGGGTGGACGACTCCTCCTCCAAACCCTACTAAAGGGTGGGATGCCGGATGTATGCAATCAGTCTGATATTTTAGTTTCGACAGACATTTGCTACTGATGAGATCTGAGGAGCTTCCGGTATCTATGAGGATTTGGCCAACTCTCTGGTTGGCCACTTTACATTCAATAACGATAGGGTCGTCATGCGGCCCTCTTACCCCTCCTAGATCTTCTTCAGTGATGACAATCTCAGGAAATGGATATTTGGAGGGCCGTTCTTGGTGAACGGAATTTACATCTAACCGTCTGATATTGTCTTTGTTGCCCCTAATAGTGGGGCCGCCTCCTGAGAAGCCGCCTGCAATGGTGTAGACGACTGCATCATCTGTATCGGAGCTGTCGGCCTGTTGATTCTTTTTGGTCGACTGCTTTTTTGAGGAAGTGTTCCCCGTAGATTTCTTGACATAAGTGTCAAGATCACCTTGCTCAGCCAGGCGGTCCAGATACCGCATGAGACTGATGCATTCATTGGTGTGATGACCAACATCTTCATGATAATCACAAAATTTTTCTTGGTTCCGATTATTTGCAGAACCCTTCATGGGGACCGGCTTCTCAATTGAGATCCGTCCCTTGATTTCCTTTAGGATAAATTGGCTATCCTTGTTAAACGCATACTTTGGGGAGTATGGTTTGAATTCTTTTTTCTTTTTCTGGGCCGGCTGTTTAGAGGAATCAGCCGCCCAGACCTCTTTTCTCTTCTCGTCTTTGTTTGACGACTGTTTCTGTCGTCCTTCTCTTTTGTCGGACCTTTTCCCGTCTGACTGTTTTACCGTACTACAAAGATCAGTCGCCTGTATATAGGCTTCCGCTTCAATCAAGGCCTCTTGAAGAGTCGCCACCCTCTTTCGGACCAAATCAAATTTGAAGGTCGACCCGTCTTTGAGACCTCTAAAAAAGTCAGTATAGGCTACTTCATCCGGTAACCCTTGAATCTGTATTCTCATCAGGTTAAACCGCCTGATGTAAGAACGAAGCCCCTCCTTCTCGCCCTGCTGAATTGTTCCTAAATCAAGGGTCGTCTTCTTCGCAGGGATGTTCATGGCGAAGTTGGAGGTGAATAAGTAAGCAAGCGTCTTGAAGTTATTTACACAACCAGTCGGCAGGTTGCCGAACCATTGTTGTGCGATTCCTTTGAGAGTCGCTGGGAAACACTTGCACCAAGTGGGATCATCCAACCCTTGAAGGTACATCAGGTTGGTGAATGCCATCAGATGGTCTTCTGGGTTAGTAATGCCGTCATAGGCGCCTACTAATACATTTTTCACTTTGGCCGGCTGAGCGGCTTCAGTAATTTCCTTGGAGAAGGCCGACGGCTGTTCACCAAGTCTAAGCAACCGTAGCTGCCAGTCCATAGGTTGGACATTTTTTGCTGTATGTCCACCAAACGGAGGTGGCTGTAAAAAATACTGTTGTTGCGGTACAAACGGTAAGTTTGGTACCGCCTGGTCGCTATGAAAGCCGGACTGACGGGAGGTGCCGCCTGACTGACCCTCATGATACGACTGAGTATGCCTTATTGAGGTATTTCGCAGACTGTCTTGGAAGTTTGAAGTAGAGGCCGACTCTGACAATCGGTCACTCTTCTTCTGCTCTAGCAGTAGCCGAGCGTCTGTGTATGTTTTCCTCGACCCGTCCGCCTGAATATGACGAACAGGTTTCCTATTTCCTGGAGTAGGAAAACGGTATTTTGTGAAATCAAGGGCAGGTGGCTCCCACTTCCTAGATTTAGGATGAGGGGTCGCCTCTCGCCCTTGAACTAGTTTCCTCTTCAGTGAAGTGGAGGGTTTCTTAGCCGACTGCTCCTTGTCCAGAGCAGGCGGCTTCTTGTTGATCAACTCTTGGATTTCTCCCTTGAAGTCCCTAATGAAGGTCATGAGTTCGTTCCTTGTGATGGGAGCAGACCCATCAGTCGGCTGCTGCCGAACAGGCGGTGCGCCTGCTGGCTCGCTTCCAGTTTGAAGATGTTCCCGTTCCCTCCTTTCGGTATGACGGGTACGTCGGGCCCTTAGGGTCCCGTCTGAAGCTGTGTGAGCTGCAACTTCAAATTCATTCTCGGTATCGTGGTCCGACTGAACTAGAGGGTCGTCCAGGGGACGTCTCTCTTCAGGAGTCGGTACAGACGTGGATGCCATCTCAGAAGTACTCTCCCCACAGACGGCGCCAAAATGTTTCGGGGTTTTCTGATGTCCTGCGGGAGAGTTACAATTCCGAGACTGGAACCGGACGCCTGTACCTGCAAAACAAACGGATGCTCCGGATGATTGGAGATCCGCCTCCGACGGTCAAGTTAGTACTTGATTAAGGAGTAATTAATGCGGAAATTAAAGTGATTGGGTCTCTCTAGGTGAGAGTGTTTAATGTGTGTAATCTGCGTTTTTTGCGTGTTATCTCCCTTAATGAGGATTAAGGGATGTATTTATAACCTCGGGAAACGTGTCAATCTAGGTTTAGGTTAACCTTGGGCTGATTGGGCTTCCCTCGGAAGTTGGGCCTAGGTGACCGGTTATCCCAGGTGTCATGGGAAGGACACGTGTCGTGTCGTAATTGGTCCATAGTGGACAGATCATTGCTTGACACGTGGCAGGCTCCTATTGGCCCATGTGACGGACACATGGCGGAACCTGATTGGTCCACTTGTCAGATGGTGATTGGTGGGGAAAAATCCCCTAATCAGAAACTATTGACATGAAGCTTAGATTATTTGGAGGGTTTGTTGAGAAGTATCGTAGGGGGAGGAAGTACTTGGTTTATGAAGGGGGGGTTGTGTATTGGAATTATGTTGTTCCTGTGTCCTCTGTGAGGAGTGTGAGTTACTTAAGGTATCTTTGTAGTGAAGGATTTATAGCTATGGGGTGGGAACCTGCTGAAATTTATAGTTTGTGGTTTAAGGAGAGAGGGAAGACTTGGGATACTGGGAAGAGAAGGATTGACAGTGATGATGATGTTAGGGACTTTTTAGAGTCCAAACACCGTGAGGGGCATGTGGAGTTGTTTCAAACTGTGTGGTTGGAAGAGTGGGACATGTATCACCCTCCTGAGGTTATTTTGGATAACCCAACCACATCCAACCCTTCTGGATCACAGCCACCTAATTCTAACCCCATAGACCCAAAACAGAATCTAAATGGATCTCAACCTTCTAGTTCAAACCCATCACACAACAATCCATCTCACACAAAAAACTGCTCAACCATAAAAGGCCCATCAGAATCCAAAAATAGCCTACATATGAGCATTGTACCTGTTTGCAGGAGGAGCCCAAGGTTGAACAAGCATTCTGACATTGAGCAAAAAACAACTTGTTTGCCTAAACCTAAACCTAAACCTAAACTGAAACCTAGGAAGCCAATTCAGGGTGTGGTGAGGAGAAGCCCTAGATTTACCAAAGACTGTGCACAAGGGCAAGGTGTGAGTGGTGTGAGTGAGAAGGGGAAGGGAAAAGATAAAAGGGAAGGTTTGAAAGTCTGTAAGAGGAAGCTTTTTAAGGGCGATGAAACTGGAACAGAAACAGGATCCTCATCTTCATCAGATGTTAGTGATCTAGATATAGATTGGAAGGCTGGTGAAGAGGATGTAGTTGGCAGTGAAGAGGATCAAGAAAATTGGCATTTACAAACAAGACAAGGTTTAGTGGGAGAGGTTGAAAGGACCTTGCATTTTGTTGACTACTCAGAGAAGAAGCTTAAACAACTAGGGCAAGACATTGGATGCAAGGATCTTGAGCTACAAGTAAAGGGGAGTGACTCAGATGAGCTGAGGAGTCTGAATGGTTCAGATGAAGAGAAGATACTAGTCCCTAGTTCAGGAAAGACACAGACTTCAAGAAGCTAGTGGTCTTAGTTGAGAAGCTCAAGTTCAGCAATGTTGGTGTGTTAAGGAAGGCCTTGAGGACACATGCTATTGAAAACAGGTATGAGTTCTACTACCTGCACAATGGAGGGAAAAGGATTACTACTTTCTACAGAAGGAGGTGTAATTGTGAGTGGAATTCTAAGAGGAGTAACTTTCCACTATGCACATGCAGTGATGAAGTGAGAAAGTGTGAGTTTAAGGTGGCTGCAAGGAAGATCTATGGGAGTTGTGCTTGGCAAATCAAAGAGTTGAGACTTAAGCACAGGTGTATGAGGACAAAGATGAATACATGTGTGACAGCTGAATTCTTGACTGAAAAGTATGTTGAGGAGTGGAGAGTTAATCCAACTTGGAAAATGAAGAGTTTTAGGGCTAGGGTGTTGACTGATTTGGGAATAGAAGTTGGGTATGGCAAAGCATGGTTAGCAAGAGCTAGGGCTAAGTTGATGATATATGGGTCTGCTTTAGAGCAGTATTCTAGGGTATGGGATTATGGCAAAGCAGTGCTCAAATACAACCCTGGGAGTAAAGTGTATGTAGTTGTTGAGGGAGTTGATAAACCAGAACCTCCACTGTTCTTGAGGATGTACTGCTGCTTGTCAGCTTTGAGAAGTGGGTTTAACAAAGGGTGTAGGCCTCTGATTGGTCTTGATGGATGTCATCTAAAGGGCTCATATCCAGGTCAAATACTGGTAGCTGTAGGGAAGGATGGAAATAATCAAATATTTCCATTTGCATGGGCAACAGTTGAGGTGGAAAACAAAGAAACCTGGGGATGGTTTTTGGAGTGTTTGAAGAATGATGTTGGTGATGTGGATGAGGGTTTGGGTCTGACTTTCATGTCAGATAAGACATAAGGTAAACTTCTTGCACCTTTTTGTTTTTTTTTTTGTTTTTTTTTTGTCTTCTCTTATTATCATTCTTTAACATTTGAAGTGAACCTTTTGTATCATTGTTATGTTGTCTTCTTTTTAGGGTCTGCTGGAGGCTTTTGAACAACTTGTTCCAATGGCTGAGAAGAGATACTGTGTGAGACACATCTGGGCTAATTTTAAGCTCCAGTATACTGGTTCAACCTTCAAGGATCTCTTCTGGAATGCAGCTAGAGCCACTACTCTGGTAAGTGTTCTGTTATGATTTGATATTTGGTGTTGTGTGTTGGTGGTTTATTGTTTTCTCTCTTGTATGATCTATTATATGCTTGGTGTTGTGTTGTGTTCTGCCACTAAGTTTGTGTTTTATTTTGCATTTTTGTCATGGTAGTTTGATTTTGAGGTAGCCATGGAGTCCATAACGTTTTTGTCAGAAGATGCCTATGAATACTTGGCAAATATACCAGCTGAACATTGGAGTAGGCATGCATTTTCTGATTTTTGCAAGTCAAACATGATATTGAACAATGTATGTGAAACATTTAATGCTGTGATTAAGGATGCTAGAGATAAACCCATTCTCACTCAAATGGAGTGGATGAGGAAATATATGATGAAAAGGAATAGTAAGAAATGGGACCAAATACAGAAAATGGAAGGGAAGAATACTCCTTATGTGGCTAAGGTGTTTGAGAGAATGGAAAAGGTTGCTAGGTATTGCATTGTCCAACTGTCTAGAGGGGACAGTTATGAGGTTGAGTTGAATGGGGATAAAGTGGTGGTTGACCTGCATCAAAGAACATGCAGTTGTTATCAATGGCAGTTGACTGGAATTCCTGGTGTACATGCTTTTGCATGTATTCTAGACAAAAGGACAAATCCAGATGACTATGTTGATGAATATTACAGCAGGGCAACCTACATTCTAGCCTATCAAGATGCTATAAAGCCTATGCCAGGGCCAAAGCATTGGGAGAAAATTGACATGCCACAACCCCTCCCTCCTCCAGTTAGAGTTATGCCTGGGAGGCCAAAATCTAAGAAGAGGAAGCTGGAAAAGGGAGAAAAGGGAGAGGGTGCAGGACAAATCAAAGAACCTAAGGCCCCTAAGACTCAAAAAAGATGCAAGAATTGTGGTCAACTTGGCCATTATGCCAAGACATGTGGTAATGCACCAAGCACTCAACCACCACCATCAGTAGCAGCATCAACATCTGAGGCTAAAAAGGGTGGCAAGCCTGTCCAGAATACCCCTTGGCTGCAAGAGCAGAGGAGAAAAAAGGCAGAAAGGGCTGCAAGAAATGTAAGTTATATGTGTGTATTGCTTTGAGTGAACTGACCTATCAACCTTACTAACTGTTCAGTATTGTTGGGTTTTTTTTTTTTAAATGAAACAACACAGACTGCAGAAGGTGCTGGGCCAAGGAGTATAGGCAACAGGTCCTTCCCACAAGAAAAACAACAGCAACACCAACCTATGTGCTCCCATCCTACTGCATGCACACAACAATCCCAAGCATCTACAACAACAACAACAGTCCCCCCCCCCCCCAGGAAGCAAGGAAAGGGCAAAAAGAAAGCAGCCTAACTTGTTTAGTTAACTTAATTATTATGTACAAAGAAGGGTGTAGAACAATTAGCTTTTGCCTTAGTGAATACTGAACTTTAAGTTTTAATCTCTGTTTGTAATCCTTAACTACTTGTCATTATCTAGTTTTTGCAAGCAATGCAACACTTAACTTTGCAATGGTATGAAAATATGTTTGGAAATTTGCTAAAGTATGGTTGTTGTCTTATAAAACTTGTTTATTTCATTCATAATTGAAGTTGATACAAGTTCAATCTGCCCACTTCATTTGAGCATACACACATAACAATTACAACTACTACTCTACACTTTTTTAAGCATCACTAAAGCACCTACAAACATCAACAGAAAACATAACACAACACCCACAACAATAGTCCCACACCCAGCACTGTTCTGTTGCCCTTCCCCTGAGTACTTCTTCCTGTCAGCATTCAAAGCTTTGCACTTCACTGTGAGATTGTCATTCTCACTCAACAAGCACCTTCTCTGGCCAGTAAGGTCTTCAATTTATTTTTGCATTGAGTTCATCTCACCCTTCATCAGTTTTTTATCCAAGATTAGTTGATTAATCACTTCTTTTTGCCAATCACTCCCATCTTCATCCACCCACTCAAAGCACTTGCAACCCCTTGTTTCTGTGTTAGGATCATAAAACTTGCAGGCCAAAAACTTTCTTCCAGGGTTCTCCCTAGTCCATGAGGTCAGCCTTGCCATGGGAAGGCCACAATTACATTTTTTGTATTTGGAGGGTGAACTCCTAATTAAAGACATACTGTCCTGCAAATCAACCAAATTCATAAACAATTACATTACCAAACACATTAATACAAACCCTAAACTGTCAATTTAACAATTAACACACCCAAGGAAAAAACCCCAATTAAAATTTCACCAACAAACCCTAAATTGTCTATTGTTCAAATGACTACAAATTAGCCCAATTTCAATTCGAATTACCAAACACAACATTATTAAACACTACATCTAATCTAATCTCAGTGTTAACTTTGGATCAAATAACATTAATTGAGCAAATTTCATAAAATTGAACAACGACCATACCTTTTTCGCCCTTGATGTATCTTCGCAAATTCAATCTCCAAATTCCAAATATCTTCCTCAATGATATCCCTCTTCAAGATTATTTAATTGAATTTGTGTTTTATGAGGAGCAATTTTTCTACTTAAGATTGAGCAACGAACAGATTCAGAGCATAAAAGATTGAGGAAGAATATTTGAAAAAGGGATGCATAAAATAGCCGTTATTGTGGGCCCCACAAACAGAAACAATAACGGGGTTAGCAAGTGGTAGTTATTCATACAGTTAGGGAATTATGGTGGTAGTAATTTTAAATTTTTTTTTAAACAGGTAGTAAATCTGATACGTGGTGCTTTTGGTGGTAGTAAATATCAAATTTTCCTTTAATTTTATCTGTTACTAAAAAATATTGGTCAAAATTAATATGTAAACAGTGAAAAAAGTTAAGTGTATTAATTATTTAGAAATGAGAAGAGTAATAAAGAATTATATATTGTTAAATTTTATATAAACCTATTCACGATCTTAGCTTTCCCCCAAACAACAATAGCAAATGGACTCCTGTAATTCAAAATAAAAATAAGTCATGTGCAAACATAAACATGTAATTTTTTATAATTGTATCAAATGAAACCAATAAAAAAACAGTTACAATTGTTTTCTTGACTTTCCTTGCAAACAAGTTGTTCCGTGAGGAAAAGGGGGAAAAAGCAACGTATTGAGAATTAGTCTTGCATCTAATAAATAAAAAAAAAAATAAAAATAATAATAATAATAATAATAATAATAATAATAATAATAATAATAATAATAATAATAATAATAAAAAGTATACTTGTATGTTTTAAGATTAGTAACAACGTTAACAGACATATAATTTAGTCATAAATTTTCAAAGTTATAATATTTTAGAAACTTTATTAAATACTTATATGCACTGTGTATAATGTATATTATATTATCATTATCATCTACGAGTATTTATTTCTTTTTTACCCTGTAGATAACAGAAAAGATCATTACCAACTTAATTACCCTGGATTATCATAACTATATGTAAAAAAAAAAGGGTAATGTTATACTCTGTATGCCCTAAGCTAAGGGCTATATATAAGAAATTAATATACTCCGTATGCCCTAAGGGCTATATATAAGAAATTAATACACTCTTAAAAATAATATAAAATTAGGAATTCATGACAAAAACACGAGTAAATCAGTGTAATTAGTGTTTATATTTTCATGATTTTCAAACTTTACACAATTTTCAAGTGCACATTTAATGCTTATATGTAGCCCTAAGGGTACTCGTATCAAATTTAAATTAATTGGCTGACTTTTTCAGTTTTTCTCCAAACAATCCTTAATTTAAATTAAATTAAATTGTGGTGGAAAATAAATCAAATCATATACGAAGTATGTAGACAAAGCAATAACGTGGAGAAATATAGTGCAGTGAATACGGTAACTACCTTTTAATTTCTTTATTAAGAGCTACGAGTGTATTAAATGCGCGAGGTCAGCTGATACATACTTGCATTATTCATTTATTATTGTGTAAAAGAGAAGGTCCAAATGTATAGATGGGTCCCCAAAACCCCAACCCATTATGTTCGTGTTATTTGGATCGTTTAATTTGCTGCCCCTACTAATTGGCTTACATAGTTCCATGCTTTTTTTTCAAGATCCTTATCAAGTTATCATTTTCTTGTATCCTGAATTAATTTCAACCTAAAAAACAATTTTGCATTTAAATTTTCTGACCTAGTAGTGGTTCAATGTATTTTATCTCGGGAAATAAATAGATCAAAGGATGATAAATTAATGGATTTGGAGGACCCTTAGACTGAATAGTCACAAGACTTTTAAGTTACAACCTTAGATGTCATAATTTGCAACCTTAGTCGTGTTTTCACGTACACGATGTGCCTAGATTTTTTTTTTTTTTTTGCTCATTAATCAGTTTTTGCTCTTTAGAGTATTCAAAGAGCGTAAAATTGATAAAGTGGCATGGCAAAAAAAAAAATATGCAATGAGTTTTGATAGAGTATAAAACATATTATTTGGGCTCAACCATCTGCTTAATCTTTTGGTTGAAATGGTCCTTTAAGAGGGCCATGTTACATCCACATTTCAATCCCAACGGGCTCTCGTGTGATGGACGTTTATGTTTTATACTCTATCAAGTTTATCTAAATACAAGCTAGGGGAAGTCATAGGCTCTATCAAGGGTGACACTTGGCTCACCATTTTTTTTTTCTCTTTTACAACAAATACTAGTTTTGACCAATAGACCTGTGTGACACTGTGAATGTGTGATGCATAACCACTTTTTTGTTTTTAAAATGACTTTTATATTTATTGGATGTGAAATGTATTTTAGGTAAAGAAGTATAAAATTGAATGAAAATAAATGTAATTGAAGCTACATAAATTTGGAAGAAAATACAAATTTGGAAAGAAAGGTAAAATTGTACTTGAAAGGGAAATTTCAATTCATAAGGAAGAAGAAGAAGAAAAAGAAAGAAAAAAAAGAGGGAGAAGCCCAAAAAATAAGAATAGGTTTTTAAGAAGAGACACATGGTAGTTTAGATATCTTGTAAATTTTCTTATGATTAAAAAAATTACTTTGTACCTTTTTAATAGACATGTTTATTATTTAGTTATGTTTGTCTATGAATAAACTAAAACATCAAGTTCTTCAATTATCAGTAGGAAAAATTATTAAAAAAAAAAAAGGTGGATGATCAACTAGATTTTTTTGTTTGTTTTAAGAAATGGTTAGCTAGATTTTTTGGTTTAAAATCTTAAGGAATGGTACTCAATACATTAGATTAAATCTTGAAATTATATTTCAAATATACTTATAGAATCACAAAAGTAAGTTAAAATAGGTTATGCAATTAGTGTCTTAAGTGATTACTCTTAAAGTCTTGTTTGGTTGCAATATGGGAAACAACTTCAATTCCCATTGTAATTTACAATTCATGGGAAGTTATTTCACTCATGCAATTCCTAGGAAATTAATTTACTTTGTTTGATAGATATTAGAGAAATCACAATTCATGGAATATTTGAATGACCTAGATAATTTAGGACTTGTTTGGTTGACGATGTAAAATAAGGAAAGTGAAAATTCATGAGATTTCACGAGTTGAAAACCTGTATAGTTGACACACAAATGAAAAAAAGGAGGAAGTTAAAATTCATGGCCGAAATTAAACTTTCTACAGAATATGGGAAGTTAATTACCTACCCCCCTAGTTTATCAAAAATTCATGGGATATTTAAATTCCCACATTGCCAACCAAACAAGTTTAGGAAATTTCATTAGGGAAATAACTTCTCATGAAATGTAAGTTCCTAAATTCCCACGTCAACCAAACGAGCCCTCAATTCCTACATTATGTAGACACTTCAAATTCCCATGAAATTTTAACTTTCTCCATTTTGCACTTTTTTGGTTAACCAAACAACTCATCACTTTTGCATTTCCTAAGAATCTTGAGTGACCATGGGAGGAAGTGTAACACTGCAACCAAACAAATATTAGTGTCTGTTTCGAGTAAAAACAATATGGTTAAGACTTTGACCTTTAGTAGTAGGCTGAAAACGAATTTAGTCCAATTAGAAAATTTGGTTGAGAATACCTAAATCAAAGAGCATGTTAGTTGGCATTGGCATATGTCTGAGGAAACCCCTCTAATGCCTAAGTCAGCAGGTGTAGCTAAGATAGATCGAGTATTCAATGCTAGTGCAAGTATATGGATGGCAACAAGCCGGATCTATATAGTGTCATAGTGGACCCAACAAATCTATTTTTGTATCCTGAATCTTGATTCTAGCCAAATCCGTCAGGTCTAGAAAATAGAGATCCAAAACGGATCTACCGGATTAGGGTCCAAAACGGATCTTATACATTTTGCTTAATTTTTTGCGACATATATAATATTCGAGTTAAAAATGCATTTCAAGCTTCCTTTGAGGGACGATTAAGTTCAATACATAAATTAAAGTTACGGATATACAACTAATAAAAATAAATAAATTAAATCCAAATGAGCAAACAAAGAAAGCATAGCAAAGAACGAAATAAGTACAAATGAGCAAACAAAAAAAACGCATAGTCAGACTCAAACCTATTACAAAAAAAATAATGTTTTTGTCACCTTTTTTGTATAGAATAATTTTTTTTTTTTTAAAAAATGGGTAAATGAATCTAGGTGTTATAGTTAGATCCAGTTTTTTTCAAAGGAGCCAGATCCGATTCGAGTCCTAATATTGAAGACCCATATCCTTGAGAAACGGATCTTGATCCATGGATCCAAATCAGGTCTAGATCCACTGTGTTGTTGTCCCTATGCAAGTACAATAAATGCTAAGTATCTGTGAATATATTGTGCTAACTTGGCTTATTGGCTATTCACTTTTATATCATGGAGTAGTGGACCCAAGGTTGCATGTGGGCTGGCCTAAGGCATTTGGACCCTTGGTGCGTTGGAGGCATGGAGAGGCTTCATTCATTAATAGGTAAATCGGGCCCATTTAATGAGATGCCCCAAGTGGGAGCCCAAACAGTGTCAAACTGTGAATAAACATAAAACGGATGAAAAAAGTAATTTGGTTGCCAAGCTAATGCCAGGAATTTGTGCAAAGATTGATTTCGTGAAACAT